GCAAGTCAACAAAAGTGATGACATGGCCTTTGGCACATGACCCATCAAGATATTGTTAACTTGTTTTTTCCAAGTGATCAAACCAACTTTCAGACTTATTTCGCTATATCTGTTTCATTTTTGGAAAGTGTCTATACTGCTAATCTTGGACTTCCTAAAAACTAAAGATGATATTTTAATCTTTTAGAATCTTCTGGAAGTGAGAGGCCGCTATGTGGTTCACAGTGGGGATCTGATGGAACTAGACAATGTAGATTATAAAGTTGTTCAACGTGTTCATGCAGTACTTCTTAATGATAGTCTTATGCTGGCAACATGGATCTCCAATAGGTTTGTAACATAGTGATATGTGTTTTCAATTAGAAATACATTTAGACATTGATTTGTTGAAGTGACAATGACTTTAGAAATTTACTCAAAATATCAGAGGCTCGAGATTTCTGATTTGTTAAAGTCATGAAAACATTAATATACAGCATAAACCAACATATTAATTAAGTTTAACCAATTCTACCTTTCTCTAATATAATTTGATGAAGTGTTTGGCAAATGGACATCTGTCTTAATCTTTAACTTATAACTTGAATTGTAGTTTTTACTCTATGTTCACAAGGTGTTCTTAATGTTTTAAATATGAAAATCTTGTTTGAACCAGTTAACTAAATGGTAATGATGTTTCTAGGAACTTTCCTGTCATCTGCATGACTGTTCACAAAAAATCTACAAACATTCTGTGAAAAATTAACAAATTATCATTCTGTTGTAACACTGCATGAGGAGCTAGACTTAAATTTGCATAAATATGTATGTTTTATTATATTAAAGTACTGTACTATCTACATGCAGAATAGTTATTAATTCTTAAATTATATTACTAATTTAAACAACTCTGTGCTTGGAACTATTTCAAGCCAAAAAATGCTAATGCTTAATCAGAAGAATGTAGACTATGTAGAAAATGTTAAGTACCTTAAGCAGCTGCACTATAACTATATAATCATAATTTTTTGCATAAAAAAATAACACCAAATTTGTTATTTTTCTTTAGTTGGACATTCAATATCTTGCCTTACAGCTCCTTTGGGAGCTACTAAAACAAAAACCATAACTGACAGTACAAAGCTTTATTATCGTATTACTGGTACTAGAAAGTATGCTCAAATTCATTGCAATGGCATCTATAGTCACAGGGCTCAACATTTTAACTATAGCCTTTACTTTGAGGATGAGAATATTGTTCTGGATTGACTTGAGGTGTGGTTTTGAAGCCCAGTGCTGTCCTAAATACTCTGTTTTGCAAGTTTTTCTACTTTTATTGAGAGCAATGAATGTTCCCTTCTTGAAGTGTTATGCCTTTTGACTCATCCTTGTCTAAAAATGTCACAATACAGATACCCTTCCCTAGAAAGGGCAGTAATATATTAACCTTTAGTCATAAGTCTGTCATATAGCTGCCCTGTAATATTGAATGGTTAGAATTTGCTATGAGCCAAACACGTGAATACATCAGTGAATCCATGAAATTCCATTAATCCATGGACCATGACCAAAAACTTACTTTTTGGTACCTCCTCAGATGGCAAAATCTCATTGTATTTTTAAAAAGTTTATATCTATGGATGAACTGTTCATATGATAACCATTGGCGAGTGGTGTCTTAGTGGTAGTTACCAGCTTTTGAAAGTGCCTACCTTTTATATGACATATTCTATCAAAAGTGATGGAATGACACTTGAAAATGTTTTAGCATTCAATAAATAACATAATATCAATATAAAATATTGTAACAAACACATTTGATAGTGTAATGTGTGTGATGTGCAATGTTTGGTAAAAAAACAAATATGCCTCGTGTCACAATTTTTCTGATACATATAAGTGAGCACCTGTATACCTTTTCAATGTGTGATAGTATTTCAGTCAGATATCAATACACCATAAATTTGAATACCATGTCTATTTGTGTGTAGGACAACTATCTGTCACAGCAGCAGCAATAAAGCAAATATGAGTTTTCTTATTCATACACACTACTAGAAATAGTCACAATAAAAATGTAAAACAAAATGATGACAAATTGCACAGCATTCTTATTACCTTTTATTTGTGACCTGCAAAATCAAAACAGGAAGGCATGTCTAGGGAAAGCAGTGTAAATTTGAATACTTAATTATAACTTATCTGTAATAATAAAAGGGCATGTGTGTGTGTGTGTGTGTGTGTGTGACCACCATAACTCTAAGAGGAAAACCCAGAAACCTGAAAGTTTGCACACATACTAAGTGGACCATGAGGGTGTGCACCTGTGTATTTGCGTATGCATCTTTCGTATGAGAAAAACCACATAGAATTGTGACCACCATAACTCCAAGAGGAAAGAACCTAGAAACCTGAAATTTTGCACCTTTACTAAGTGGACCCTGAGGGTGTGCACCTGGGTTTTACTTATCTATCCATCTTTTTAATGAGGCAAGCTAGTGAAAAAACACATAGAAAAGAAGTGGTTCCTTATATATCAACTTCTAATACATAGAAAACCAGTGCATTTTGCTAACAATGCATTCCAACAATGGCTTTTATGTCATGTAGCTTAGCAACAAAAGTATATAGGTCACACTTTTATGTTAAAATGGGTTCAGAATACACACACTATCAACCTAATAACCCGAGTGAAGCCGAGTACTTTTGCTAGTTTATATATAAATACAATTGATATAATACTTACTACAATCTGGTATAAACACAGGCAAATGTATATTTCAATAAATAATTGTGTTCAATACAAAATCTAAAAGTTCATTTGGTCTAAACCAGTGATCATTGTTTTCTCACAGCATAGCCATGTTTGTTACTCCAGCTATGTGCTACTTTATTATACAGTCCAACCACATTTATCTGGTCAGCTGTGGATCTAAGCAGTTAATGGCCACATAGCGGGGTGGCCATATTACCGGGTGTCACTGTATGGGGTCAACTCTGGGATCAGACTGAGACCTTATAGGCGCAGCACATACCCTTACAACTTACCCATAATACTCACCTTTCTGTGTTCCTGTTTGATACAGAATGTTGTAATAACATCTTTACATACCTATCTTTGCATTTCTTGTCTAAAAAGTAAAATTCTGTACTGTATTTTGATTAACAAATAAATGCAAAATTTAGAACGACAATGAACTTCTTGACTTTTCCTTGCACCACACAGTATCAGAGGCCAAGGCATGACACTGTTGTTTATGGGCACATGGTGACATTTGGTGGTAATGATACTCAAACAATGAAAGAACAACTTTCTTCCATTTCCATCAATAGAACAGACAAAATTGATTTGGCTGAGAAAGCAGAGTTCTATTACAAAATGGAAGGTAAGGCGACAAAACTTTAAATGAATGTGCAAATTTTTACCCTTTGAACAAATCTTTTGTTCACAAGAAGATTAAAGAGACACTGAAGTAGAAGTGTTACAAGTGACAAAGTTTAAAGGAGTGTGAAAACATACTGATTGTTTAATTGTGTATTTGTGATCATCAGTACAACATGAGGTGTGAAGCATCAGGTAGGATTAGCATGTCATTAATAGAGAACATCAATGGTCACCTGGTTTGTAACACCTACAAGACATGGCCACTATCAGTCGATGTATGGGTAGTGACCTCACTTTGATTGACAGGTCTCAATTGGGCAGCTGCGAGTGAGAGCCAGCCTGAGTAGCCACAATACTGAGTTTAAAGAAACTGCTTGAAACTGGAAAGCAGGTGACCACAAGCCAAGTTGACCATAGTACAAGTGCCCATGATAGCAGATGATTTATACACATTCAATTGAAAGAAATATTTGAAACTGAGCCAAAATGGCTTTAATTAAAGGTGTTGACTGGTATGCAGGTCTGGACTGTATTTGTTTTAAAATTCTTATTCAAAACGTTTAATGACTTTTAAAATTTATTCTATGCTTTGCCTCGGTCAACACGTATTCATAAAGTTAGCAAGTGCAACCACCATTTTGTTGGGGGCTAAACCATTTCTACCAATGTTTTATGTTATATCACCCACCGGCACCTGTTGATGTGTGTTGAACTAAATAATCAAAGATAAAGAAACCAAAAGGAAAAGAGAATACAACATTAAAAAATAAACTATAAGTGAAGAGGTAAAGATGTGAAATTATGCATAAGACCCAAAGAAGAAATTTTAAGATTATAGAAGAAAAAAAAAAAAGAGTTAAAAGGTATGTATATATTTCCATTTCTTAATTTAAATTTCATTGCACTCCACATTGATGATAATAGCTAGAAATAGTGATGTTGTAGAGAATTTAGCAAATAAAATATAAACATTACCTTAAAACAACTTTTTATATAAGGTTCTAGAGATTGTAAAACTGAAATTTGTAAGATAAAAATAGAATCTTAAAATACTTTGCCTTCAAATCAAAGAAAAAGATAACAGCTCGCAATGCATTTAATTACATTTCATGAGGATGTGCATTTTTACATAGTTTACTCAAGAATTATGGCAACATTAGTGCACCGCTTACATTGTGGCCTCCAAACATAATCAGAAACACAGTCAAAAGTAAAACCTATTTGTATGTCTTTAATCATCATAATTCACCATTGTGATGATTCTGATTTGCGAGCCATATTTTGTCATTTATCCACATATCAGGAATTATAAATAAATACAGCCACTTACAGAATTCTAAGCCACATTTACTTGGTTATTCTTGCAGTTTTAAAATGCATAACCATTTGGCCCAGTGTGGCATAAGCACATAATGATGCAACAAAATGTGAGAACTCAACAATCTATTTTATACAGAAGATTGCTAAATAGTACCATATGTGGAATAACAGAAATGTGGGGAAAAACTATGCTATTCATAAAATTCTTAAGATATAGGATATACGAGTTCTTTTATGAACATACATGTTAATATAGGTGTGTTCATGAAAAATATAGGTAATATACTTAGAGAAAAAGCACTGTATAATTACCCACCTTGTTTGCAAAATCGGTCAATAGCAGCTTGCCTCAAGTTGCCACGCACTCTCCCATCTATTCTTTCATAAGGATATCTGTGTAATTAGATATTATAGAGTACAAAATTAAATTGAAAATACTTTTCTGGTAAACTAGACAAGCTCAGCCCTTAACCATTTATGAATTCATAATCTTGAAAACAACACATGTAAGATACACGGGAAAACTATAACTTGTTAATTAATACACATATTTTTTCTCTCACATACTTATAAATATTACTTATTATAACTGAAAAAATAAAACTTCATTAATCCAAGAAATACATTTAACCATTAAAAAACTAGAAAGATAACACTTCTTAATTACAATTATATGATAAATACTTTAATAACTAACTCTTCATTCTAAATACAAACTTAGAATGTCTAACTTATTTCAGGCATAAAATAACCATCTCTAACCTTTCAAAATAACCACAGTAAGACATACAATTAACATGTGATAAAATTTACAATTAAGATATTACTAACTCGAGTATACATCCTAAAAGTATAACTGAAAGTTTCAAATATCAGAATACTGCTTTACAAATTATAACACATAAATTACAAAAGTCAGTTAACCCTCAGCTTATACACACAAATTGCTTCTTCTTAATTAATGTCTATTACTATCAAATTCAAATGAATGGTTGCAGGCTTGAAATAATAAAAAAAGAATAGGCTCTTTATATTGGTTCAAAAACTGCCTTAACCCCCATGACAACAATGTCATTTAAAACTCCTTTCTGGGCATGCCACTGAGTTACATTCAAAATGTAAATAAACCACTTTATTTTCAATGTATTTTAATGAAATAATTATCATCAAGTATGTTATAGTTCAAAGTTTTATATTATCTTAGTTTCATTCCATTATTTCAAAAGAAACTTTGAAAGCAATAATGAAATCTCACATGTTTATGTTACATTATGAATAAGCTATAAACAATGTAAAAATTTGCCAGAGTATAGCTTGAAACAATACTCAAGTATGTTTAAATCTAGACTAGCTTACTTGCCCTTTTGACATGTGTGTGGTTCAAAGTATTTTGCTGACTGCAGTTGAAACAAGAAATAAATTTTTTCAATCCCTGACAGTTGCAACACCCACCTTCTAACACTGAACCTTAGAAGTTATATGTACTTTCAACATGTAAATGTTTATAGTTCTTAGAAATAGCTCATTTTACACTATAATACAACAAAGGTTATTTTGAAATTGGCATGAAGTTGTCATCCTTGGGTAGGATGTGACTGGTTGTACTATTATTGGCTGCTTTGTTCCCAATAACACTTCAGTTGTTTCTTACCTAAATGTTGTAGTTAGAGAGAGAGAGAGAGAGTTAAATTGTATTTAGGTTTTACTTTTATATTTTAGTTAATTATGCATTATTTATGTTAAGGTTTAATAATTTCTATAAAATAACAAAAGCTTCCCCTTGTTCTGAAAGGGTTCATTACCAAGCATGTTTATATATAATGATTTTGCCTGAGGCTAAGGTATCTCTGCTGTTCATACCGTTCTATCACCTACGGTTACCTGTTGATGTGCGTCAACATAAGTAATAAACAGTAAAGGATAGGAAAGGAAAATTAAAAATAAACTATATTTCTGTTCCTTAATTTTAAGTACTTCATTGCACTGTCCATCGATGATAGCTAGAGTTGGTGATAGATAGAGAAAATAGAAAATAAAATATAAGCATCACATAATCTTAAAACAACTTTGATATTCATTTAGGAGGTTCTAGAGATTATGCAAGTGAAAACTGTAAGATAATAAATAGTATTTTTATATTCAAAATGAAATTCACTTTGCAGGTGAACTATTCAGAATCTAAGTGCAAAGAACTAAATTAAATAATGAATTTTTCTCAGAAAATAGTGTGAAAAAAAATTAAGTATTTTAGTTTTCCTAAACTACATACTTTTATGAAAATTCCTGCGAAATTTTAAACAATGTTATCCACTCGTTTTTTTTTCTGAACAATATGAGAACTAAGTCGCGTGCTGCACTTTCACATTTCAGTTTCATTATCTTTAGGACCTCTTAAATAAATATTACAAGTTGTTTTAAGGTAAATGGTTATATTTATAAAATTTTGCTATTTTCTCTACATCATCACTATTTCTAGCTATTATCATCAACGTAAAGTGCAATGAAATGTTTGAAATTAAGAAATTGAAATATATACATACCTTTTAATTCTTTTTTTTTGAATAATCTTAAAATTTCTTCTTTGGGTCATATGCATAATTTCACATCTTTACCTCTTCACTTATAGTTTATTTTTAATGTTTTATTTTTCCTTTCCTTAAAAATCATTAAACCTTTCAAATATGAATTTTACAACACAAATAATACATAATTAACTAAGATATATATATAAGTAAAAGCTAAATGGAATTTAACTGTATCAAACTAATATGTACAAGGTGAGAAAAAAACTGCCAATCACTAGGGGCCCTGCTTTAAAGAAGGGACTACTTTAATTTGCCTCGTTTGTAAACGGATACAAACATGTACATTTATTGTTAATTTAGAGTCATATTAGTGGGAAATCTACTCTAGCTATTGGTTATAAGCATGCCATTTAACTTAAAACTGTTGCTTAGCAGCACTGCTTCTTTGCAAGTGAGCATGACTTATCTTGAACTGATGATTTTTTGCATTGGTTTGCTCCGGGACAAAAATTCTAGAAATTTACTCAAATTACTAGAAAACAACCACTTATGCTGTACAGAGAGACTGTCTGCATCACATACACAGTTTTTTCTATACCAGCTCTTAAAGTTGAGAATTGTAACTGCGAGCTCATAATGATATATCAAAACCCAATTTAAATAATATTATAAAAGTTTCTTTTGAACCATATGAATAAAAACTTAGATAATATAAAACTTTAAATCATAATGTACTTGATAATAATGATTTCATTAAAATATGTTGATAGAAGAGCAGTTTAATTAAATTTTGAATGTAAAGGGTTTTAAAAATGGTGTCGTAGTTATAGGGTTGAAGAGTTTTCAAATCTCCATTTTTCATGGACTATCATCAACAAACTTTTGACAATTTCATATTTTTGGCCAACTATCTTCAGAGACACTTGTGCTGTATATCTCTGAAGAAACTAAACCTATAGTTATTCTCTAAAGCCTCACACTGATACAATGCTTTTCACTTTGCATATGTGATATTAGATCACTTTCTTCTATCTTGCACAAATCTATTCCTTTGTTACAAGCAGCATGACTCAATTTTTGAATTTACCATTTCTTACTGAATATGTTATTTTCTATAATGAAAGATGAGATAATATAGTGTTCAATTCACTGAAGTAGGCCTACATCAAAATGTCGTGTATTTTTAGGCCAACAACATTTATGGTCGTTTTTTCATGCACTGATTGGCTTTACACTCATCACTTTCTGCATTACACTGTGACTGGAAAATTACATTGTAAAGTAAAAATGAAAAATCAAACAAAAACATTTTATTACACAGAGTGATAATAGTCTTCTTCAGAAAGTTAAATGTTTAAACATGATTAGTGTGTTAGTATACATCCATAGAAGATATAAACAAAAATGCAGACAGATAAAAACAAAATATAAACTTTAATTTGTAAAGTAAGAATTTTTAACAATGATACTGTTCATAAAAATATATATAGCACTAATGTACATTTGTCATAGACTATGCACACCAATACCCTACAAGATTAAAAACAAAACTGACCAATGGGTGGTTTCACTGTTAATCTTCCATGAAACCATAAAAAATAAACATTAAAATTACTTACTCAGATTAACCAATAATGTACTCATAATTTTTTCTTTTTTAATTAATAAACTAAAAATTGCTAAATATTTAGATAAAGTACATAAATTTAATGAACAAACTGAATCTTTATTCAGTTATGGTTCATAACTTTTTGTGTGTGCAAAGAATGTTCTCTTCAGGTCCAACATTGTTTTGTCACAGCTTGCAGCTCTGAATAATTTATTTTGATCACTGAACAGAAAGGAAATAACTTAGGTAAGGGACTAATAACTTTGAATACAATTTATGTGATTACCTATGCAAAGGGTCCTGTTCTTCTCCACCATGAAAACCTAAAATTACACTATGAAAGTCCTATAAGCTTACCTACGATGAACAAGATAGTCTTCTAAGATATCAAGACATCGAACCATTTGTGAGAACACCAGCACTCTATGGTCATTTGCACGTAGCCGAGGCAATAACTTGTCAAGTAACACTAACTTTCCTGAAGCTTGGATCATTGCACTTAAATTACATTCAGGCATCTCTCCATGTTCTGCTTTAAATTCAGATATGATTTGTTCTTCAGCACCTAAGTAGAGAAATATTTAATTTTTCTGAGTTCCCAGAGCTCATTTAGTGTTATCTTAAAACTGCATTCAAATTGAGAAAATAAAATAATTATAAATTTTAATTATTGCAAGCATTTAGAACTGCACTGAAAATTCTAAAACACTTATAAAAAAATTATTCCCATAGTTTATTTTTGCATTAGTTTCATTTTAAAAAAACCTATCATTGTAATATGGGAAAATGATGTCAAATCAACTTTCAAAACATTATAAAAATAATCTTATCATCAAAGGCAACTATATAGTTATGAAACAGTAAGATACAATATAATACACTATCATTCACAATGAATTAATTACATCAAATACTAGCATTAAAAACATTCAAACAGCACCTACAACTGTCTTAACTCACCAAAAACATATTTATTGACATGTTTCAGTTAAATCTCTTCTTCAGGTGGAGCACAAAAAACATTCCATACACAAAACACTTTCCAAAAATATAGGTTTTGTTTTAAAGTGGTAAAATATTACACATTGTCACTTATCATCAGCAATTTTCTTTCACAACACTTTCTTAAACTTCAGACTTTGTGTGAAATCTTAACTCACCATTAATCAAATAAGGGTGAATGCAGCATTTTCTGAGTTCCATCATGGTGTTCATCAAGTTTGGTACATTGGTCCCTGTGCTTCCTTTAGTTAGGAAGGTAAAGTTACGCTCTAAGATAGCCCTATAGTATTTCTTCTGGACATTTGTAAGTTCCACCTAACAGAAATAAACATCAATTGACATCAAGTTAATGTAAACATAATTTTTTTTTATAGAAATTACAAATTTCTGAAGGAAAAAAAGAAACACATCTTAAATAAATAAACTGCACAAAAACGCATTACCTCACCTACCAAATGTAATTCAAATCTCTCTCTTGGAATTCATATCTTTTGTTTTACTTAAACTTCAATATTTTGTTGAAAACAAATAAAGTAACATCTTACTAATTATCTCACACACACACACTTGAAACATTAAAAATTAATGCAAGAAACATTAAATATATGTTAAATAATATATCTATATCTATATATAATACCTTATTCCTGTTATCTACTGATTAGTAGTTTGTGTGGCATTATATCATAATAATACCGATGATAACTTTTAATAAATGTTTCTTTGCTCGACTTATATAAGCTTCCAGTAGAAATAACATAACAGCATCATGACTGTATAAAGTTTTGTCAAAAACATTTTATTGGTCATACAAACAACCAATGAACACTTTTATTACACAAATTTGACTGCATAAATACAAATAAGGTTCATTGTACCATGAATATCAAAGATATTCTGTCAAAACTTAAGAAACAAAAGTTCATAAAAAAAATAAATTGTGCTGCTTTAAAAATCGTTAAAAAAAAGAGATGAAAGAAATTTTCTATTTACAATTAAACACCAATTCTAGTTTTGATGTGCTTAAATGGGCAGTTTGGCTTAAAAACTGCTTTACATAATTATATTTTTATTCAATATCCACCAAGAAACACATTAACTTGTATATTAAACTTGACTATTGGAAACAGAATTTCCTGCACTCAGTTAAACAAATGAAAGCTTTAATTCAATGTGACCAACAACAGCCAAGGCTGGTGATCTCTCAGTATTAGCATGGCAAGACATCATTGTGCATTAAATCTGAATATTAACCAATAAGCAATAAACATTAGCAAGAGTAATAAATATTTTCAACAGAACTTTTTTTTAATCATAAAAATTAACTGTTCAGCTTTTATACAAAAATGTCATTTCTTTCTACACTTTTAGTGATGTTTTCATGGTTTATTTTCAACTACCTGATTTTTTATACAATTTCTCAGCAGGATATTGTTGAAGAAAATGTGTATATTAAAATGTAAAAGTTGTACACTATGATAATATAATAACAAAAATGACAAACTTATGGAAATCAAAACTCCCACTAGACCTTGTAGAATTACCCTAGGAAATATGTAATACCAACTTCCTGCTAAAATCATATTAATAAATGCTCAATGTCCAAATGCTACAATTTTGAATTTCCTACCTTTGGACATAATTTACAATAGATCAATAACTGATTCTTACTATTCGAAATTAGTCTATAAAAGGCGAGAGTACTTTATTATTTATAAATAAAAAATTTATCATTACAATGTAATTTTATAGTTCGAAATACTCATATCCAGCAAAACTTTCAATGAACTAGTCATAAAATAGAAGAACTTTAAAATTTTTACCTCTACAATAGTTTCTTCCTTTGGTACCAAGCTTTTCTCTACATCTTCCTTCAATCTTCTTAGCATCATTGGTTTTAATATCTAAAAACAAACAAAAATTAAAGCAAACTGCTCTTTCTGACTTCAAAACAAGTGTGTATGTGTGTGTGTGTTTTCAGCTCTATAAGTTGTAAAACAAGCACAAAATATAAAAGCAAAATCACTTAAAAATTGTGAAATGAAAATAAAGAAAACAATCCATATGCATACTTATATATATCTGTGTGCCTGCTGTAAATTGAAGTGTTTCTTGAAACTAAAGCAACAGCTTTCTTCATGAAATTATATATATAGAAAATAAATGTTGCTAGAAATTTTAAAATTAACTCGAGGAAACATACAAAAATTTTACAAAATAATCTAAAAATGGCATTCTTTACATTATACTGGGCCTCGAGATTATCCTGATATAAAAAATACTTCAATTATTAACCATGCAAAACTATTTGAAACCTGCTAGTACGACAACAATGTAATTGAATGTCTCCTAATCAGTGGAATTAAATTCAGGGATAGGTTTTATAAATTAATGCATCATTCAAACATCAAACAAATATATGATAAAAATTAAAATAAAACTTGCTAATAATACTTTTGGAAAATTAATTACACTTGAAACAATGAAAGAAAACACTTACAGCTTTTAGCTTGTCTACTTGTGACTCTGTTTTCAAATCTCCAAACTCTTCAAGAAAAGCCTCATTTGATGTAAATCTGTTGGGTTCTACAAAATTCAGGAGACTAAACAATTCTTCAACATTATTCTGTAAAGGTGTACCAGTCAGAAGAACTCTATGTTCCTGAAAATACAAAGTAATTATAACTGTAACATTGAGCAAAATCACAATTAAAATGCATCTTCTCAGCATCATACCAAAATTATTATGCAAATTATTTACATCATTTTTGTAACAACTTTAAAAGAAAACTAAAAATGATCTAGTTTAAGTAAATTACAACTCAGAATATGTGTGTAATAATTAGAATCTTTTCATTCTTTGAAACCAAAACTATTTTTACCAACACTTTCTAAGTGTGTTACTTAGATTCAGGGCCAGAATAATTTTTCATTCTCTATCATAACAAGTCATAGAATAATCATTCAAAACTTCTGTACAGTTTCCACACAAGTAATAATCAGATATCATAACAAAGAAAATAGAATAGTAAAAAACATCAACAAAAAAACAAGTTATTTTTAATGAAAAACTTGCATTTCTACCATATCCAGATAGAAAAGTTTGCCAACTATTTATTAAAAATGTAAAACAACATAAAATATACCGGTAAACTATAATAATGGATTTTTTTAAATAAGTGCCAGAATGTGAAACTTTGATTATTTGTTTCTATAAAAATATGGTCATGCAGTTACAGGAACTCACCATATTTAACAGACGTAAGCCTTCCAACAGTTTACAGTTTCTATTTTTTAATCTGTGCGCTTCATCAATGATTACACAACGCCAAGGGATCTCACGAAGCTCCAGACAGTCCGTCAGTAAAATCTCAAAGGTTGTAATCATCACATTGAACTTGTATATTTCAATGATTCGTTCTCGCTTAGAATAAACAAGTAAAATAAATCCAAGACACAAAAATATTTAGAATCAATAAACTATATGCAGAAAACTATTACTGTTACCTCAAAAAATGAAGTTTAATTTTTTCATAGTATAATATTTTCAATTGTTTCAGTAGCACAATGTATTATTCAGACCATTTACTTAATAAAAATATATTTTCATATTTGAGAACTTACTACTTCAATGTTAAATTTCAATCAAATGTATCAGCAGTATTTTTTATACATGTCATCTATAACAGAATTTTATTTTCTGGTTTTGTTTTAATAACCATCAAGTTTTGTTGGATGAATGTTCTTACCTTTTCATTTCTATAGTACATTTCATATTCTTGTATCATATTCCTACTTGTTGATCTACAAAGGAAATAGATATATGATAATTAATGATTAAATATTACTTCAACTGTAAGCTTTACAATTTAAATAAGTTTTGGTTATACAAATAAACAGAAAACAGTACTACATGTACAGAAATATGAATAAACAGTTAACCTAATAAACTGTTTTATTTTTTGTGATACTGTGTCAGATATAAAAGACTGTTTAGTGTAAGTAGTATTGTTAATTAATTAATTTTGCATTTGTATTCGCTGATGTTGAGGCTATTGAACATTGAAGCCAAGGCTATAGAAATTTCTAGAAGGCATAACTGATAGACGCATAAATAACGGCAACCAAACAAGTGAAAACAGAGAAAATGTAGTCACAAGAAAGAGATAATTGGTCAGAGAAAAGTTAAACTTAAAGTTAACTGTCATGGAGTGAAAGGCCTAACAGTTGATACCTTAGAGTGAGATTAACAATTTTGAAAGAGATAAGGAAAATAAGTTGTTTCATCAAAGGGTGTTCTAAAGTAATTGAACCCGCTTCAGTGGACTTTGACAAAAGGCAGACGACTATTGAAAGTATGAAAGCCCACACAATTATTGGAAGTGCATGATACAACCTCAGTAACTCAACAACAACGTAAGTGAACTATACACAAATGCTACTGCAATTGAAATAGAGAGAAAACTAGATAGGCTTGTCAACTGAATTCTAAAGGAATCGAATTGGCCTAAGTGGACTTTTGACAGGAGGAAGAGAACTGTATAGTGTTTAAGATACAACTATGGTCTCCATGGTGTAAAGAATTTTGTACATACATTTAACTTGTTTTGAATATATATATATATATATATATATATATATATAGATATATTAAAAACAAGTAGAGTGCGTGCCATTCATTTATTGTCGAATTTGTTGCTACTATGTCACAAACACCTACCGTAGAAGAATCCTTAGCCCAACACACTTTTATTTAACTTACATTTTTAACTAATAAAGATGCAGCTTTAAATTTGCATGGTTCATATTATTAATTGCCTTAATTTCTTTGGAATTATTTCAAACTTCTTTGATATTTTGTTAGACTGTACACTTGTGCTAGACTTTTAAGTTTAACCTAAATACATTCCCAAAAGTTAGCAATCCAAGTTAATTTCAAGTTTTACATCATGGAATTCTTAGTTCTTAAAATAATTGCGTACAAATATATAAACAGGTGATAATTTAAAAACTGTCAATGAACTCTTAATTTTGATAAATTACTTTAACCAGTAAACTTACAAGTGTTGAATATCAATAGAACACTTAAGCATAAAAATAATTCCTTACGTTCCATGGTATGTTATAACATTCAGGTCTGTCCAAGTCTCAAACTCCCTCTGCCAATTAGCTATAGTTGACAGTGGTGCAATTACCAGAAAAGGCCCAGGAATTCCATAGTTGGCAATTTCATTCAAAAATGCTATGGACTGGATAGTCTTACCAAGACCCATCTCGTCTGCCAAAATGCAGTTTTGGCTGAAAAAAAGTTTTGCTTGTTTAGTTCACACCTTTATTTTTTTTCTTTAGCTTCATACTATATATATACATATCCTATGAATGCTAATTAATACCAAAATACCTAACTTATCAAGCTCCTGAACATAATATTTTACACTTTCAACATAAAAACGAATGAATCTTCTTATAATGTTTTCTTTACATTAAGTTAGATTCCTTTAAAAATTCCAAACAACATTTCTTAGCATTATTTATCTACTAAACATCTTTTTGTACTTTCAAGCGAGAATATAATATAACATTGACCAATTATACGGTTCCTTAAAAATATACCTAGTATAGTCATATGATCAAATATAATCTGACAGGTTGTTTACAGTTAATTTGATTTTTAATAGCAGCTTCCTAGTTGTATTTAACAATACTACACTTCATTTAGTTAACAATAAGCTGGTTGAATAATATGACAAAGCCATTTTTCTTAATACTGTAGTGTCCTTTTTTAACCCTTTTACAATGGGTACCCAAAGTGCGCATGACAAAACCTTTTACGGTTACATTCAAAATTCAGTTAAACTACCTTATTATCAATATGAATAAACTTGGCATCAAAACATAGATACTATATCAAATTTTAATACAAGTTTTAAAGTTTATAAGGAAATATTTTAAACAATCTTCAATCTCCACTAGCATGAGAATTGTGACATTTGCTCTCTCTGTATTCCCTATTCTCTAATTTTACCACCCTTCCAAGAAGTAAAGAATTTAATGTAAATTACACATTATAATATAGATATTACTCAGGCAAAGCATAATTTTTATAGCCTTCATCCAGCAGACAGTAGGAAGAGGGACTGCAAACCTGGGATGCATCTCCAGTCCAAAACCTGGTGGCATTGGGCAGTTTGTATCCAGTCCACATGGGAGGACTGAGCTGGAGCATCTCCAACCAACATCTGACCACCCGGGAACCACATCAGGAGAACTGTAGGTAGGAGAAATATCTCAGCCTGGGGGGAATACTACAATAAATATATATAGATATATGTAGTCATGACATGGAGGAGTGCTTCAACCAAAACCTGGCAGTACCTGGAACTGTACATCAGGTCCGTGGCAAGAAGGATCCACGGCATTGACATGATTCTAATTGTGACTGGGCTATCTCTATCCAAAATCAGACCCACCAGTAATGTAGGAAGGAGGAATATCGCAGTGGGAAAAAGCAATCTGACAGATATATATACATTAATATAGCATAATGCTACAACCAAACCTGGTAGTATCTGGAATTGTACATCAGGTAGGAAGTGATATACACCATCGACACCCACAAAATGCCACTGCCCTACTCTCGACTGAGTGATATGATGCATCACTCAGGAGGACAAGCCTCCGTGGTCCACCACCCCATCACCTCGGAACTGGTAAGGACTCTCATACTCCACTTGGAGAAAGTAGGGAAAAACACGGAGTTCAGATGACCACACCACTGGAGACAATGCAATGGGTGACCACGATACCCTATTTTGAAAAGCAGAGATACCACGTTGATGGAGTTAATCAAACAACACCAAGAAAAGTATCTGGAATTGTACGTCAGGTCCACAGTAGGAAGAGTTTCAAAGCCATGGAGCATCAGAAATAGGTAGCATCCCTGTCTGCTTTACTCATGCATGTCCATGAACATGAGTGTACAGATTGGAATGAACAAAGTTATGAAGCAAAGGACCACTAGTGAGAACTACAAGCAGTCCTATGAAGCACCCCATCACTATGGTGTGCATAACCTAATCCTGAGACGTAATTGTTTCAGCATAGATGAAAATTGAATGGAGACACACACTCAACACCCAGCAGCATCTGGAATTGTACATCGGGTCCGTGGTAGGTAGAGCTACAATGTAATTGACATCGAGGATGGACATTGCGAATTTTCAAAAAAAAAAGTTTACCTGGTCAGGCATCACTTGCCGCAGTGTGTGATCCACAATACACTAGCAAAAAGGCCAATGGAAATAAAGAAACAACAAAAACATAGAAAAGAAAAACTAAGTCTGTAGTATAAAGGATAACGTCGACAAACAAGCACGTCTCTACAGTACTAATGCCAATTGAGAAGTGATTAACGAGTGCAAGTGTGGAGAGGGTGTTGGTTATGATAGGGGAAGTGCTCCTATTGGTAGAGCTGCTGCATAATCATTCACATGTGGATATGCAGAAGCAGGAGGTGGTAGGCTAGTCACTGTGCCGATAGAGGGCATTACTAATTGTGAAAAGCTATTTTGTGAAAGGAGGTAAGATATAGTATCAGAAAATATCTATTATTTTTATTTTACCTGATCTAATGTAAAAATTTTACAAT